AGTAATCAGGGTTCTAAATATGGAGAGTAATCGAGTATTCTAAGTATGGATGAAAGTAATCAAGATTCTGCTAAATAGGGATCAGAGTAATCAGGATTCTGATAATAGGGATGAAAGTAATTAAGATTCTACGGAATGTGGATAAAATTTTGCTAAATATGGATGAGAGTAATCAGGGTTATGCTAAATTTGGATGAGAGTAATCAGGATTCTGCTAAATATGGATGAGAGATATCAGGATTCTGCTAGATATGGATAAGAGTAATCAGGACTTTTATATATATGGATGAAATATTTTGATTAAAAATAACTTGGCTAAATATGGATGCTATTAATCAAAAATAAGTAACAGTATTTTGTTTTTCAATTGCTTACTACAATTGTTTTTGTAAAAACCCAAGTAAGGTACCGGTCAAAATTATCTTTTTTTTTCAAAATTTTCTGGCGATGAAAATTAGAAATTTTAATTAAATCTTGAAACCAAACATTTGATGAGATTAATAAACATCTTGAAAATTGTCATTTAATCAAAGATTATGAGGATTATATTTTAGTACATAAATATATAAAACAGAGATAACAAGAAAACGGAAGAATAGGAAGACGACATTAAAGCCAAACCGAAGTGTATCTGATGTTGTTACAAAGACCTCACCTAAAAAGTAAAGTTACTTAACTACTCATAAAATAAAATGGGTCTGTTTACACTGCACAATTGCTGTGCCCCATGTGCATTGCTCATAACTTTAATCTAAAGTCGACTTGTTATCCCAGAGTTTTCTGTTTACTACTGTATATATATATATATATATATATAAACATGGCCTGTCTGTTTGTTTGCATCTAATCAAAGTGGAAAAGGGTATCCTGGTTGGCTTGAAGATGGATTAGGAACAGAAAGCTTACGTTGTGAAGAAAAAAGAGGACACGGAGCGCCCTGTCCAGGATTTACAGAGTTTGTACTTGTCCTCTGTTTGTCTAGAATCTGTGTGTAAGTTAGCTCTGTAATTTATTAATTGTTCCAACTTCTACTTTTTACACTTTTTACTCAACTCCAGTAATTTAGCTGAGAGTCCTCAGAGGGAAGAGGGAACACGTAAACACAACTTTAACAGATTCATGGGAAATTGTAATTTACTGAACAGCAGGGGGTAAAAGGGTAAAGGAGGAGGGGGGGGGGGGAAGGAGGAAATTTAAATTGAAAAAACTGTAAAGAGAAAACTATAAGTGACTATACGGTGTAGACAAAAACGGTTTCAAAAAACAAGTGTAAAGTGCAAAATATGTTTATTCTAGAAACTGAGGATGTTCCTTAAAAATCACAATAAATCAGAAATTTCATAACATTATAAGGATTTAAAAGATTTAAAAACAATACATTAAAAAAACTTTACAAATGAATACTTGGAACTTTTTCCAAAATAGTCTAATATTTGTTGTTATCCCCCTATTTTTCCGATATTTATTCAAAAAAGTTAGCTTAGCAAGAAGAATTGACAATTCGATTAAAATATATTATTAAAGTCATTTTTCCTTTTTCCCAGACAAATTGCCTCTAGAAGTTTACCGGAGATTTTCACAAAAAACATATTGACCTCACGAGATTCATTCCTATTCGTTTTTTGCGTTTAAATGACTGCGCTGGTTGGCACCGTATTATACCTCTAGCTAGAACTGGATTTTCCAAGGGGAGAAAATATTTAAGAAACAAAAGATTTTCGAAAACGTCAAAAAAATGTTGGATAAATGTAACGTTTTGTTTTTTAAGTTATTGCTTGATGTATTTTTTATAATTTATTTTTTAAAGTCATTTTTGGACTAAAAAATGTTTTTTTTCCCGCCAAAAAATCTATTAATATTTTGTGAATATATTTCTCCCTGAGTTATGTGGCTCGTTGCTGTGCGGTCAGACAAGCAGAGGCTGAACCGCGGTCAATAGTTGAATATTCGTCCTCACAGTAACTAGACAAACAGGACAATATATCCGTCCTCACAGTAACTAGACAAACAGGACAATATATCCGTCCTCACAGTAACTAGACAAACAGGACACAGATATCCGTCCTCACAGTAACTAGACTAACAGGACAATATATCCGTCCTCACAGTAACTAGACAAACAGGACAATATTTCCGTCCTCACAGTAACTAGACAAACAGAACAATATATCCGTCCTCACAGTAACTAGACAAATAGGACACAGATATCCGTCCTCACAATAACTAGACAAACAGGACAATATATCCGTCCTCACAGTAACTAGACAAATAGGATACAGATATCCGTCCTCACAGTAACTTGACAAACAGGACAATATATCCGTCTTCACAGTAACTAGAAAAACAGGACAATATATCCGTCCTCACAGTAACTAGAAAAACAGGACACAGATATCCGTCCTCACAGTAACTAGACAAACAGGACACCGATATCCGTCCTCACAGTAACTAGACAAACAGGACAATATATCCGTCCTCACAGTAACTAGACTAACAGGACAATATATCTGTACTCACAGTAACTAGACAAACAGTACATTTTTTCCGTCCTCACAGTAACTAGACAAACAGGACACCGATATCCGTCCTCACAGTAACTAGACAAACAGGACAATATATCCGTCCTCACAGTATCTGGACAAACAGGACAATATGTCCGTCCTCAGAGTAACTAGACAAACAGGACAATATATCCGTCCTCACAGTAACTAGACAAACAGGACACAGATATCCGTCCTCACAATAACTAGACAAACAGGACACAGATATCCGTACTCACAGTAACTAGACAAACAGGACACATATATTCGTCCTCACAGTAACTAGACAAACAGGACACATATATCTGTCGTTACAGTAAATTATTTATAATAATATATTACATATAATATAAATACATCACATATAATATAAGTATATATAATTGTTACGCGACGAAATCGTCTCGTCTAAACTATTAACCCCTGACGGACTCGATTGTACTGTGAAGCCCCTGTGGAGGGGAGAGCTGGACTCCGTACTCTCTGAACATTTAAACCAGTTATAAGTGTACGCTACCTACACGCCATATTGTTTCATGAATTTTCTCGTCAGTTAAAATTGATATTCACGGATAGTAAACCTGTGTTATTTTTCGTAGCTAAGGCACTTTGAGGTACATATTTTTTTATATATTGGATAAAAGGAATTGATTTATGTATCTTCGCAAATACGAGTTGAAACCTTTTGAATATGTTTTATTTATTAAATCATTGTCAGAATCCTTCTTTCCTAGAAAAGCTTGATTGTAACGATATAAATTGAGTTTTTACAGAGGCTTTAACTTTTGAAGGATTAGTATAAGGTCAAGACTTTTGAATTCTCGTCTCCTTAGTGAATCTATGTTGTATTGGAAGTTTATGCTAATATCATAATTTTGGATTATGTGCTTGATTCTTTTTCGCTTGTATGATTCAATAAAGTTTTAATTCGGTCAATCTTTAGATTGAACCGTGTATCCTGTAATTAGAGCCCTGATTATTCTGAGACTGAGAGATTGTAGAGGAGTCTAAGGAGTCATGAAATTATAGGACGTTCCAATCAACCTGAGCTACAAAATGACTAGGTCCGATATCTAAGGGTTTATCCTTGAGTTTTATTGTCTATTAGCGGCCAGGGTTGGTCGCAAAACAATAATATATATTATATATAATAATGTATCACAGACGTATGATGAATAGAAGAAGAAAAGTTTGAAGGGGGTGGGGAATCTTAAAGCAACATTAAAGAAAAGAGTTCGGGTGAAAATATTAAAATTCTCTCTGGTCAAAGGAAGAAAATTGAGCAAAGAATTCCTCCTTTTCAAATACCAACACGCCACACATCAGCAACTCAACTCAAATAAAATGAGTAAATAAAAGCAAAGTAAAAAATCTATTTGAAATATGACTTTAAAAACTTTTATCAATTTACTTTTAAAAAACAAAAATAACGTTAAACACGGTCCAGGGTGTTTAAAAAACCATAAATTTAATTTTAGAGCTAAATTAATGTTATTTTAAAATTTCTTTTGCCTTTTCAAGAATAATCTTAATAATACATTGATCAAAGGTCCTAAAGATTGGTTTAAAAAAAGATTGGCTTCAAAATAACTTTATCTGGATTTTATTAAATATTGATTTATAATATTCTGATAAAACTAGCTAATTGATTGATTTGTTAATTGGTGACTGAATTGAATTACAGAAAAATTAAATTGATTGATGAATTCATTCAGAACTTTATGGATTTGATTAAATATTGATTATAATTTTCTGATAAAACTACCTGATTGGTTGGCTGATTGGTTGATTGATTTATTGATTGAGTGATTGGTTGATTGAATGATTTGTTATTTGATTGGTTGATTGCGTGATTGGTTGACTGATTGGTTGATTTGATGATTGAGTGATTTGTTGATTGAGTGATGGTTGATTGAGTGATCGGTTGGTGGGGTGAATGGTTGAATAATTGATTTTTTATTTAATTGGTTGTTTCATTGGTTGATTAAGTGCTTGATTGAGTGATTGGTTGATTGATTGATTAGTTAATGGAGTGATTCATTTATCGGTTTTCTGATAAAAATACCTGATTGGTTTGCTGATTGGTAGATTGATTGATTGATTGATTGATTGATTGAGTGATTGGTTGATTGAATGATTTGTTAATTGATTGGTTGATTGAGTGATTGGTTGACTGATTGGTTGATTTGATGATTGAGTGATTTGTTTTGAGTGATTGGTTGATTGAGGGACTGGTTGATTTAGTGATTGGTTGATTGAGTGATTGGTTGATTGAGTGATTGGTTGATTGAGTGATTGAGTGATTGGTTGATTGGGTGAATGGTTGAATAATTGATTTTTTATTTAGTTGGTTGTTTGATTGGTTGATTAAGTGATTGATTGAGTGATTGGTTGAATGATTGATTAGTTAATTGAGTGATTCATTTATTGGTTGGTTGATTAAGTAATTGAATAATTGATTAATTGCTCTAAATATTTCAGATATAAAGATGGCTCCCCGAGGTGAGGATGCTGAACTAGATGAAGGAGGCCAGGCCCCAGATCCTCCAACAAACCTAGAGATTACGGACTGGGATGCTACCCTTGTAAAACTCAAGTAGGATATTTAAAATACGTAAAAGGGATTGCTCACGAATTAAATGATTTGCTTTATTTTAATGCGTTTGATTAGATGTTCAGATTATGCAGGGGAACAAAATTTCAAAAAAATGGATAATTTGGCCACAACTGTAATCTGTTTATCAATGCATAGAGTTGGGTACATGGTGGTAAAAAGTCCGGTTCGCGTATAAAAAAATCTAAAATAGCCCATAACTTTTTTCTAAATAAAGATACAGATCCCCCCCCCCCAGGCTATATAGTGTTAAGACACTCTGTAGTCTAAGGCTTGTTATGATTGTTGTAGATAAACAAAAAAAGTTTATTCAGTTCCCTTATAGGCCAATTATGGCATGCCATAAAATACCTAACTTTTAGTTCTTCACTTTTTTCTTTGAATTGTTGGGTACAGGGTGTTCCAGAATTCATTAAACCCTGATTATATTAATCTTATTTAGGGAGTTTTATAAACTTTTGGAACTAGGTTTCTGATAATCTTTAGTTGCTTCAATTTTCAATACTGGAGTTTCGCAACGCTTTGGGGCCTTTGATTTTTTCTTCATTAACACTCTTATATTGTTAGACATGTGCAATTAGAACTATTAAAGCACTTGCTTTTAGCTTTAGTTTTAAAGAAGTAATTGGCAAAATTCTCATCGATTTTTGGTTGATAGCTTGCAACCTTAGGATCGCGGTGTAAAACTTTTATCGGCAAGTAAAATGTTGGTAAAAAAGTTATACAAAAACAAAATGAAATTGATTATAAAATATTTCTTTTAAACAATTTTTTCGAATTTTTAAAGTTTTTGACTCCCTACTTTTATATCCACGATGAAGCCTATATGTCTGTTTCGTTTTACAAAATTTTAGATGCTCATTTTTAATGGTATCCTCATGCAGTTAACTGTTTATACAAAGAGAAACTTGAAATTCTTTCTTAGAAATCTTGTTCTTCTCAATTCCAAGAGCTTGCCTGGTCCTGTATATCTTTTAAAAGAGAAAATAAAGCTAATGATATAAAATAATATTTATTAAAATAATATTTATTGAATTTCATAACGATACTCTGGGCTCAGAGGTAAAAAATTTTGTGTTTTGAATACCGGAATTAAGCAATTATTATTGTTTTTCACCATGCCCAGAATTAAATTAATTCCACTTGGATAACCTGAATTCGTTGGCCATTGGCCGGGATAACTAAAACTGGGTGATTAAGCACATTATCCTGAAATTCAAAAATGTCATCTTTAAATCTAATTTCTTGGAATATTTATCGTAAAAAGAAAAAGCAACGAAACCCTTTTCTAACATAAAGGAAAGAATATGAGTTGCTTACTTCATTCTGATTTACTTTCCTATAAAATATTCTGATTTTTTTTCCTATAAAATATTCTGATTTACTTTCCTATAAAATATTCTGATTTACTTTCCTATAAAATATTCTGATTTACTTTCCTATAAAATATTCTGATTTACTTTCCTATAAAATATTCTGATTTACTTTCCTATAAAATATTCTGACTTACTTTCCAATAAAATATTCTGATTTACTTTCCTATTAAATATTCTGCATTGTTTTCATGGATTTACTTTCCTATTAAATATTCTGCCTTGTTTTCATGGATTTACTTTCCTATTAAATATTCTGCCTTGTTTTCATGGATTTACTTTCCTATAAAATATTCTGCCTTGTTTTCATGGATTTTCCCAAATCCTTAGAAATCTGCAAAATCAGCAACATTTTGCAAAATCCATATCTTATTCATATATTCTTGAGAGTAATCATGTTTTGAAATTAATTTTTTACATACTGATAAAACCCATTTTATTTCAGTTCATTTGACAAGAAAAAAAAAAAAAGTTTAACTTTTACATGAAAACAATGCATTACATTACGATCAAATATTTGTTATGATTTGATGTTTTCAAAAATTTAATCCATTTCGCAAAAAAACCCAAATTAGCCAATTCTTAAATTTTAAGTTCATGGAATATCAAAGTGATAAAGAATCAAAGTTCTAATCAGCACAGATATTTTTGTATCTAAAGTATTTTCAAATTCCATTTCACGGACAAAATAAAATTGGGCAACATTCATCTGAATTGTGATCGGAGAAAGTTTGAATAATGAATTCCTTCTTGTACAACTTCTGGCCTAAAGTCTGCAAATATTTGAAGTGATAAAACTAGATCGATACTTCTGAGTTGAAATGAAAAGGAGTTGAGCCTTTGCCACAAACTTAGATTTTCTAATTCCTATATTTTTCCGAAATGATGGTGTAAACCTTTTATATTTCAAAAGTAGATTATTTGATCGAATTTAAAGAGTTTGAGCCGTAGCTCAAATATGGTTGGTTCCACTTAAAAGTGTATTCAATGTTTCAAGATGTAAGCCGGCGCTCATTTGAAACCTGTTTTGGGCGGATTTGAGACGCGGCTCAAATTCATTGAATTCGGACTCTGAACCTACTAGTTTGAAATATCACGACATTGGGCCGGAAAGGTATAGGAATAACAAATTAAAGAATGTGGTAAATTCTCTTTTCCTTTTCACGATCTTTTAAAACTTTTTATATTATTTCATGTAAGTTAAATATAAACAATCGAAGTTACAATTACTGGCTTTAAAAAATAAAATCAAACAAAAGTCTGATCAAAAAACGGGTTAAATCAATTTGTCAAATCAAAAATGAATGATATATCCATGCTTTTTTCTGAGAAAATTTATGATTTCTAATTTTTATCGTAACCAGATACACTTGCTTTTCTCATACTTGTGTATACAATCTAAACTAGAGGAGCTCCGAGGTCACAAAGTCGTACCAGTGATGTGGCATAAATTTTACCTTGTCCTTCAGTCTAGTTTGCAGAGTGAGTCCCTAGATGGGTGTATATGGATAAATTGAAAACTTTACATAATAAAATATTTCCAAATTGTAAAATTGTATAAATTTATGCAAGCATTTCCGGATGAAAGATAACTAATATTATCCGAATCCAATAATATATTTAGGAAGATTATATACATATATCTATATATATCTAAATATATATAAATACTTTAGTAAATATAGAAAGCTAAAGCCAAGGACACATTGCACATTTAAATTCTTGCCATTAAAGGGATTGTATTCCTAAATAGATTTAATGCCCTGATTTCGGAAATTAAAAACTAAAACCACAACCTAAAGATTAAAGCTTTTTAATCGAAATATTTGATTTGATTTAGCTTAAAAAAAGTATTAAAGGAATTGAGTTTTTGTCACAAACTCTGATTTTCTAATCACAATATCTTTGCAACCCAATGTTATAATGCTTAAATATTTCAAATTATGAATTAGGTGAGATCAAATAATCTAAGTTTAAAATATAAAAGGTTTACACTTACACAGATATATAGGAATTATAAAATTTGAGTTTGTGGCTTTTCCTGTGCAAAAACCTGGGTTTCCAACAAGTCGCTATTAATAATCTTACAAAAAGTTTCGATTATTCTGTCAGTCTGAGACATCGATAATCGGCAAGCTGCAAACCAATTTTACAAAATGGTTCATTAAAAGAAAATTTTATATTTTCAATATGCAAGTTCATAATTTTCTAAAAATTCTAAATTTGATATAAACAAATCCTTCTTCAACACTTAAACCTACACGTGCACACTCTCACAGAGAATCAAGAAGTATTTAGCCAATTCCTCTATTGGAACTTAAGCTGAATCAAGTGCTTTGCGTTTTTAAAATGTAAATGTCTAGGGCTACAAAAAATTAGTAAGTTGGTAAGGTCGAGGCTGTCTAAAAATTTGATAATTAACTTCCAGGGTTGTCTGAGTCTTTATCAAATATTTTTCTACAAGAACTGAACACTCGCACAGCCTCTAATATCTCTACATCTCTGCAGCCTGATTATGAACACCTTTGAAATTTCAAATAATATGGAGTTCATATTTTGAAATACCAAAGTTAAAATAATTTATAAAAAACGTTGTATAAAATGATTGTTTTAGAAAAGTATTTATTGGAGTTTTTTTCAACTTAACATAGTCGAATTTTTAGTTTTTTTTTCCAAAATTTCAACTGATTTTATCTTTCTTGACAAACATGAAGAAAATCAAGTATGATATGCAAGAAAAAAATATTTCGGAGCTTTGCTAAAAATTTAAATTAGGCGAATGGTTTATCTCATTACACAGTGTAGCAAGCTGGTTCATGGGATACAGTTTTGAGAGTGAAATATTATGAAAAACATATTTTCCTTGATAAATGAATACATTATTGTAAATGGGATTGTTGGCAGGTGTGGGATGTAATACATATTTTGCTCAGGAAGTTTTAATATTGGCAGATATCAGAGAGATGTAAAAACGATTTATTAAAAGAACAACAATTTTACATTAGATGAAAATGTTTATATTTAGATGGAAGGCTCCTGTAAATGATGGTGGGGCACCAATCACATTCTTTACTATAGAATTCAAGCCTAAGAACGACGAGGAATGGCAGCAAGGACCAAAGGTGAAACCAAGCAAAACCCCGAATGGAACTGTTGATGGTCTGACAACAGGCACAAAATATGAGTTTAGAGTTCTAGCTGAGAACAGAGGTGGTAAAAGTGGTCCAAGTGATGTCACTTTACCATTGTTGGTTAAAACACAGAAAGCTGCTCCAAGAATCGACCGTAAGGCTATGGAAGAAAAGTCTGTTAAGGTGAATCAACAACTTGATTTATCAGTTACAGTTGACGGCGAACCTGCACCTGAATGCACTTGGCAAAAGAATGGATCAGACCTGACCTCAGCTGATAACGTTAAAGTTTCCTCTGGGAATAATGTTGCAAAGCTTCTCTTTATTCCAGCTAAACGTGGCCATTCAGGAAAATATACGTTGACAGCTAAAAACAAATGGGGAGAGGACTCATGTGATATAGAAATTCAAGTTTTTGGGAAGCCTACTATACCCACAGGACCACTTGAAGTAAGTGAGGTTACAAAAAAGTCTTGTCTCTTGAAATGGAAACCATCTGAGGATAATGGCGGAAGTCCAATTATTCACTATGAAATTGAAAAATTTGAAGAATCTCTTGGATCTTGGCTTCCTGCAGGGAATACCAAGGGATGTTCAATTAATATTAGAAGTCTGGTGGAAGGAAAGAGTTATAAGTTTCAAGTAAGAGCTGTAAACAAAGATGGAGATTCTCCTGACCTTGAAACAGAAAATTTTATCCTGGCCAAGGATGAGTTTGATAAACCAAGCCCTCCTGGAAAACCAAAAATGGTAAACTGGGGACCAAACTGGGCTGAACTCTCTTGGAAAGCCCCTGAAGAAAATGGTGGTGCTGAAATTCAAAGATACAAAGTTGAAATGAGAAATGTTGACAAAAGAGCATGGAATGAGGTTGGACAAACAAAAGAAAATACATTTATGGCTGAAAAATGTGGTATTGAGCTGGGAAATGAGTATGTTTTTCGTATTACTGCTATTAACATTGCAGGAGAATCTGACCTTTCTGAAACATCAAGTCCAATTGAAGCAATGGAACGGTTTGTGAAGCCTAAGATAAATAAGGATTTAATGGGAAAAGATAAGGAATTATGTGCCTCACATATGTTGAAGTTGGATGCTGTTGCTTCCGGAGAGCCAGCATCAAAGTTTTCTTGGTTTTTTGCCAATGGAGATCAAATTCTTCATGATGGAGACAGGGTTCTCATTGACAATGATACAAAGAATGTGTCCAGTCTTATGTTTAAAAATATAGAAAGAAAGCACACTGGAAATGTTAAGGTCATTGCAAAGAACTCTGTTGGAGAGGATGAACATGAAATCAGACTGAATGTTCTTGCTCCACCTTCCAAGCCCACTGGACAGTTAGATGTGTCTTCTGTTAAGCCAAACAGTTGTCATCTTTCCTGGCAAAAACCGTCTGATGATGGCGGATCCCCAATCACTGGCTACATTGTTGAGAAAAAAGATGTGGAGAAGGACTACTGGTCAGTTTGTGGAAAAGTCTGTGGAAAGTTAGCAACAGTCATGAAACTTGTGGACTTTGATGTTACAGACCTGATTGAGAACTTTGTTTATGTCTTTAGAGTAATGGCAACGAATGCCATTGGAGAATCTGAACCTTTGATGTCTTTAATTCCAACTATTGCTAAGCATGAACTTGATCCTCCAAACCAACCATACAATATAAATATTGTGGATTTTGACAAAAAATGGGTTAAACTAGACTGGTGTGTTTCACCAGGTCCAAAGGTGACCAAATTTGTCGTTGAGAAAGTCGAAACATTTATGATTCCCAAGGATGAGGAGGAAGAAGAGTCTGTTGCACCAATAGAAGATGGTGAAGAGAAACCAGCGTTTGTTATGCCTGTGGTGAAAGAACCAGGAGTTAAAAAAGAGCAAGAATATGTTGAATACTCAACAGGTTGGATGCTTGCTGGTACTACAGAAGATGACAGCACAGAAATCAAGATTACAGATCTTCAAGAAGGCTATAGATACCAGTTTAGAGTTAAAGCTGTAAACAAAGCAGGCTCAAGTTACCCATCAGAATCTACAGATGAAATTATTGCCAAGCAGCGAAAGCAGAAACCTACTATTGACACTAGTACACTTAAAAAAGAGGTCTCTCTTGCCAGAGGCAGTAATCTTGTTCTTAAAGTTAAAGTTAAAGGGGAACCAATTACAGACAAAACCTGGTTCTGGGGAAGAAGAGAGATAAAGTCAAGTGGCACAGTAAATATTGAGAGTTCTGATTACTCAAGCAAGCTTACTATTTTATCCTTAGAGAGAGCAGACACAGGAACCTTTTCATTCAGGGCAGAAAATATGCATGGTAGTGATGAAGCATATGTTGATGTTAATGTTATGGTGGCACCTCAAAAACCAAAGGGTCCAATGAGAATTGATGGAATCTATGCTGAAGGTTGCACAGTTGTATGGAGTGCACCAGATGACAATGGAGGATCTCCTATTACTCATTACATTGTTGAAAAAGTCCAGGGAAATGGTGATAATTTCACCCCATGCAGTAGGGTTAATGCCCCTGATACTGTTGCAGAAGTTAAAGGGTTGACTCCTAAAAAGGAGTACAGACTTCAGGTAAGAGCTGTAAATGCTCTGGGAGAGTCTGAACCTCTTACTGGAGTTGATGGATTTATCACAGAAAACCCATTCCAAGCACCAGGTGCCCCTGGAATACCAGAGCTGTATGATTGGGATTCAGATCATTTTGATGTCAAATGGGCAGCTCCCAAAAATGATGGAGGATCTAGAATCCTTGGATATGAGTTAGAAGCTAGATTGTGGAAAGACTTGGGCTGGTTCAAAGCTGGAGAAGTAAAGATGCAATATGAGAGAGGTGTTGTTGAGGGAATTGAGTTGGGAATGGGTTATGCCATCAGAGTTAGAGCTAAAAATGCTGCTGGGTTCGGACCATGGTCCCTTGAAACAGATCAATTTGTTTGTAAGCATAAAGCACTGAAACCTAAACTGAAGCTTGATGCTCCCAAGGAACTAATTGTAAAAGAAGGAGAAACACTGACAGTTTTTGCCGATATCCAGGGAGAACCAGCTCCTGAGGAAGCAAAATGGCTCATAAGTGATAGAGAACTAGAATCTAATGCAAAAAGTGGAATTCTCATCGATAATTCAAAACAGCACAAGAGCAAATTACAAATAGATGCTGTTTCAAGAAAAGATAGTGGAATCCTTATTTGTGAAGCATCTAACTTGCATGGCAAGGCAAGATCTACAGTTACACTATCTGTAATTGGAAAACCGACTGCTCCTGAGGACAGACTTGTCGTTTCAGACATTCACAGCACAGGGTGCAAACTTTCATGGAAGGAATGTAAGGATGATGGTGGTTTGCCTGTAGAATACCTTGTTGAGAAGTATATTGTTCAAGCTGATACATGGGTGAAACAAAGCATTACGTCTAGCACAGAATTATCTGTCAATGACCTGGAGGAAGGAAAGGAGTATGGATTCAGAATTTTGACACTAAATGAAATAGGAGAATCTGAACCATTGAACACCAACAAGACGATTGTTGCTAAAAATCAATATAGTGAGTATCCATCTTTAACCCTTAACCCTAAACAGGCTGTAGGGGGGTGTTTGGCGACTCCTCTTTTTTTGTCCTAGCACTCTCATTTTTGACACTATCACCATTTAATTTTGTGACTTTTAATGAATAGCAATTTAAAGGAATTTTTTGTTAAATTTTTTTTTAATTTATAGGGTAGGGAACATTCTAAAAATCTAAAATAGCCCATAACTTTTTTGTGACTAAAGCTACAGATCTAAAAACTATATTTTTAAAAAGTGTCACTCTTTGATATTTGTTTAAAACAAAAATTTTGTTCTCATTTTTTTTACCCTTTTTTTGGCACCCTAGCACCCAAACTATTAATGTTATTGGTCTAATTTTTATTTTTCTTTGAGCTGGACATGAAAAATTGGGCTATAAACATGCATTTCAACCCGATACCTATTCTCTCTTTTTCTGGGGGGGGGGGGTGCCAATTGCCCCCAAGGGCTATACATAGATTCAGACCCCCTGTCTATAGAATTAAACAAAAATTTGGTTTTTTGTTTAATAACAATCCATCTTTTTTACTCACATTTGCTTTATCTGTTTAGCTGTTTCTCTGCCTCCTTCTGCTCCTGAAGTAGTGGATGGAAATGAAAGATTAATGAACATCAAATGGAAAGCTCCAATAGATGATGGTGGTATGCCTATTACTGCTTACCATATTGAAGCCAAGGTTGTTGGTGGTGAATGGCAGCCATGGGAGCTTCTGGACAATCCCTCAACCAGAGCTCAGATTCAGAAGCTCCAGAAAGGAATGGAGTATCAATTTAGAGTTATTGCTATCAATAAAGCTGGAAAATCCGAGCCAAGCCATCCTTCAAGACCTAGATTAGCCAAAGAGACTGACCGTAAGTATTTAAGGAATTCTGAGCTTTCTTTCGGAGTATTTTCTTGTAAACATTCTTTATATTAGCTTATTGTTAGTAGGGAAACAATATTAAAATTTAAAGAAAAACTTATAAATTTTGAAATAAATATTTTTTAGTCCTTCCATACATTGAAGCCAAGGGACTTCGAGATATTACTGCTCCAGTTAAGGACAGAGTAAAGTTTGATGTTCCAATCTTTGGCGAACCTGCCCCAAATGTTGTCTGGACCAAGGGAGATGAAAACGTTGAGGAGCTTGGAGACCGTTCAATTGTTGTAACTACCTCAGAGACTCACACCAAGATTGTTTTCAACAACCTATCCAAGAAGCATGAAGGGACATACAACTTGACTATTAGTAATCGGTCTGGAGAAGACTCTGCAAAGTTTTCCATTAAAGTTCTAGACTGCCCAGCAACTCCTGAACCTCCAATGAAGGCAACCCTTGAAGGAAACAACTGCACCCTGTTATGGAAAAAGGTCAAGGATGATGGAGGAGTTCCTATTGAACATTATCAGGTAATTTGTTGTAAATTGTTATATCTGTGGCCCTTAAGTGTCAATATTGGCGAATTACCCTCTGAGAAAGCCTTTAATCACAGTCAATTATTAATAATTTCATCTTAACCAACTCTCTCTTTGCCTAGATTGAGAAGCTCGACAGTGATAAGGATTTTTGGTGTGCCTGCGGTCATACTAAAGACAACACTTTCACCATCAAAGGTCTTCTAGACGGACACTCATACACCTTCAGGGTGTGCGCTGTCAATAGAATTGGGGACTCAGGCTTCCTTACCAGTGATTCTATCATTCTTGGTGAAAATTCTTCTCGGTAAGGAAAATTTATCTATAAACTACAGTCAGAAGTTTTGAACAGTTTTCCCCTCTTAGACTTAGCAAAAGAAAAATGTTGGTCTTAAACTTTTCTTGATAAACCTGGGAATTCAAGTTTTATCAATTCAATCTAGAGTTTACAGACAGATTTATAAGATAAGGGATTTAGAAATGAAGTTCAACAAGACAAAATAATTATTCTATTACACTTGAACAGTTGCACACTAAAATTTCAGCTTTTTGTATCTTTATGGATTTGATTCTAGATTGAATTTTTGTAAACTGTAAAACTAAAACTTGATAAGGGTGCCATGCAGTCCTTATTCCTATTATTACTTGTCACTTTATACCCATTTTTTAGTGACATTTCAACTTTTAAACCTTTGGTAGGGTCATGCTTGTTGCCAATGCACAGTACAGGAATTGAGTCTTTGGCACAATCTTTGATTTTATAATCGCTACATCATTGAAATTATTTAGCAAGACCTTAGATATTTTAAGTCATGAATTCTGTTGAATCAAATTATCTTAATTTAAAGTATCAAAGTTTTACGCCGTCAGGTTTCAAAGATATAGAGATTAGAAATTTTGAGTTTGTGAAAAAAAACTCAATTCTTTTGGGCCCGATCGGTTCTGCTGTTTTGATGTTCATTGAAAACAAATGGACAGAAAATCAAACAAAGTATATTTAGTAGCCATGTGAATTTTATGGAGTAAAAAAATGAATATTTTTAAATGCTAATACAACATTTTTCTCAGAGGAGTTTAGAGAATGAGAATAGGATGAAAGGACAAATTCTCAAGATAATGATTACCGTGTGTAAATCAACTATGTAAATATTTCTCATTCTATTAAAATTAAATATATATTATTTTATAATATTTTCAGTTGTTAATTCAATTTCAATTTAGTATAATATAGTTAAATATTAATGGCTTAATTGAGAAAGATAGTTTTGAGTCTTTCGGTTTCTACTGCAGCAAAATGTTTTTACAAATATTATGGTTTTTAATTACAAAGTAGCTAAAGCAAGTTTTCTGATGAATTTTAAATTTTTAAAAAACTTTATTAGTTTAAAAACTTTAAGAAAATACTCATCAAAATTTTATCAACTTTCTTTTAAAACTCTATTGTCATCTGTAGATTGAAAAACTTTATCAAATTTAAAACAGCTGAAGGGTTTGTTTTTCTTTTTATTGTCACGTGTTAATTATACGTATAATTATGTATAATAATTATCAATTAAATATATTAAAAATGAAAAATTATTAAATTCAAATAATAATAGGAGCAAACCTGAGTTTTTTAGGTTTCTCTGGGGTATCGTCGTTTTCAGATTGGTTGCGTATTTTCTGAATATTATCTCTTTAAACCAACTATTTTTATACAAAATTGTATATAGATAGATTTTTGTATAAAGGAATTGAGTCTTGGCCACAAACTCTGATTATCTAACCCCTATATCTTTAAATTGAAATGTCGTAGACCTTACATATTTCAAATTATGAATTCTGTTAGATTAAGTAATATAAGTTTGAAATATTAAAGATTTACCACATCGGGTTCCAAAGTTATAGGGATTTTAAAAGCAGAGTTGGTGGCCAAGATTCAATTTCTTTGACACAGTTTTATATTAATTTCTCGAGACATGACATGGGTCACGATTAACTCCTAAGATACTTAGGTTTCAGCCAATACCCCCTTTCAATTTTCCTTTACAGTCCCTTTAATATCATTTGAATCTAGAATATATTTTATTTTTAAATAAAGGAATTGAGTCCTTGCCACAAACTCTGATTTTATAATCCCGATATCTTTGGAACCCACTGACGTAAACCTTTGATATTTCAAACTTATATTATTCGATCTAACAGAAGTCATAGTTTGAAATGTCAAATGTCTACGACATTAGATTCCCAAGATAAAGGGATTAGAAAACCAGTGTTTGTGACAAAGACTCAATTCCTTTGTAAATGATTTCAGAAAGACACAAGAAAATAGTTTTTCATTTCACAGAAGTTTAAAGGCCGTTTATAAGAACTGCTTTTTACATAATTAAATTACTGACAACTTGGAAAACTTTTCGAATTTTGTAATAATCTTATTTGTTTGTATTTGTTCAAAATTTATGAACAATCCTTTTCTTATTTGCTTGTATTGTATTTGTATGAAAGTAATGCTAGAATCAGATCAGGTCAATATAATAAATATATTCTCCTGGACAATTCATCCATTGTATTTACAAAATACAGATGGATGGAATAAACACTAAGTGCAGTACATACAGGGGCGTATAAATTGTGCCCCCCCCCATAAAAAAAAGCCCTCGTACGCCCCTGAGTACATACCTTAAGATAAATCCTTCACATTGTTAATACTATAGTAGAAACTTTTTATGGTTAAAGGGAGTGTTCACGAAAAATGAAAGGGGTATAGGCTAACGGTGAAAAATAATTGCTTTTGATCGCTTCTCATCTTACTTCTCTCTGTTGCGCCTATAAGGAGAAAATTTTTAAAAACGATTGTACCTAAGAACGTAGCGTTCATACAAATTCAGAAAGTTGCCTTGCAACAAACGACTCGGATGGTACAAAATCAATCTAATTTCAAGGAAATCATTCAGATATTAAAACCTATTGTCATCGATTTTTCGACACATTCGTCGTATATAGTTAATATTCCATAACATTTTTATTGTTTTCTTAAAAAATAATATTTAGCTTAAAACCTGTTTTCATGACTTCAAATCTAAGAAAAGGACTCCAATAAGAGATCACAACAACTTATGTTACGTGCGTGGATTATCTAATTATTTTCCAGATTTTAGAATTTTAAAAATATTAAAACTTAAATGAAAGTTTTTATTCTCAAAATATCAAGAACTGACTTTTCTGTGGTTTTTTTCTACTTTAACTTATTGTGACAAATTTCCTGGGAGGAGAGAGGAGAAAGAGTAGGGGGGGGGGGGGGGG